GTTTCAGTTCGAATCAAATTACATAAGTTCAATATTTTTAACCATCATACACATTATGTATTTTCTGGCATACTTTGGGCCTTGGGTTAGGCCCAGGCTAGACTTTGCGATGACCAATATGAAAAATGCCATGCCCGGACCCAAACCCGAGGCCCGGAAAACATTCCATGCGTTCATGTCTGTAACAAAACTTGTCTAAAAAACAAAAGTTTGTCTAAAAAAAAATGTCTGGAACTAATCTGGATCCAGGCTCCCAGTGATTGCATGCCTAGTTCGCTCAAGTCTGAGAGCACGCTTGTAATTTCTTCGTTGCGTGGGGTCAATCATTTTTCTGAGGTGGGTTTAGCTCTCAGAAGACAATCAATCAAGAAAAGAAACGACGAGCCAGCGAGCAATGGGCAGGAAAGGGGGCTCGCAAAAATCCCGGACGCTGTCTGTCACGCGAGCTTTTTACCCCTCCCGTAAAAGTAAAAACGAACCAGGGTGAGGGCCCGCCCGCCTCTCATTCTCTCCCCCCATTGTTTATCATTCCGGTTCCCTATAGCGGGCAGGGGGGCCTCAGGTCAGGTTGCAGTCACGTCTGCTCCCCCAGTCCCACACCTCCACCCCTTTTGTGCTTTCCGCCCGCTCGCTGCCACAGCGCAAGCATCTTCTTTTGTGTCATCTGTCTCTCTCTCTCTCACACACCACGTGGGCCCTCGCCCAGGCGGTGGCCCCGCCCCTGCCACTTTGGCTTTGGCGGTGTGGGGTGGCGAACGGGCGAGGCCAAGGCTGCAGCCTCCGTGCTTTTCTCGGCCTCTCACGCCTGCTCTCGCTGCCACATACGGGCGAGGCCAAGGTTGCACTCCACGCAGCCAGCGCCCCGGCAGCAGCCGCACACAGCCTCTTCCCCCCTGAACCACCACCCCGCCCTCCCTTGTCACGCCCCTGGCAGGCTTGCCCTGCCCCTGCCTCCCTCCCTTCCCCGGCAATGGAGGCGCCTCCTTCCCCGCGGCGGCTGCTGGCGGTGGTGCTGGCGGCGGTGGCGCTGCTCGTATCCTCCCCTTGCAGCGCGCTCCTCTCCGCCAAGGGCGTCAACATTGAAGGTTCGTGTCTCCCTCTTCCCGTCCTGGAATCGTTCTAGGGGGTGTGCTGGTTCTTCTTCTCCCTCTGTCTTTCTTCTCCGCCCGCCCCCTTCTCTACTCTGTTATTCCCACCGAATCCATGGCTCTGTCTTCCTCTGATGCCGTTTCTTCAGTCAAGCCGAGAGTAGTCTCTGCAACGATGGCCGTCCGTCTCTGCCCTGTCTGTTTCTTGGATTATTATTATTATCGGTTTTGCGCAAGTTTCTGAAACATCTGCCTGCCTGCAGTGCAAGCGCTGATTGGGATCAAGAACCAGCTCAAGGACCCCCACGGCGTGCTCAAGAACTGGGACCAGTACTCCGTCGACCCCTGCAGCTTCACCATGATCACCTGCTCGTCCGACAACTTCGTCACCGGCCTGTAAGCGAATCACCCCCTTTCCTGTTTCACTTCACCTGCACCTAATCATATTCTCTGCATGTTTTTACTTCTCATCACGCTGTTGTTCTTCGAATCATCCACAGGGAGGCTCCAAGCCAGAATCTCTCAGGCCTGCTCGCCCCAAGCATAGGAAACCTGACCAGCCTGGAGACTATGTGAGTGTGCTCTTCTCACTGCCACTTATTTGTTCAGAGTTCCATTTTCCATTTGCGATGGAGATATCTTACCGTTCTCTTGGCTGCAGTCTTCTGCAGAACAACATCATAACCGGGCCAATCCCAGCCGAGATTGGCAACCTGGCAAGTCTCAAGACACTTGACCTCTCTGGCAACAATTTCTATGGTGAAATCCCACCATCCGTGGGCCACCTTGAGAGCCTCCAGTACCTGTGAGCTCTACTTCTCGTCATGAAATACCCTACCTCTTGCATTATTATTGTTCCTTGAGATGTTAACCCGAGGCCTGTTGTAATCTGACCAGGAGGCTCAACAACAACACCCTGTCCGGTCCATTCCCTACAGCGTCGACTAATCTGTCGCACCTTGTTTTCCTGTCAGTAATTTCCCTACTGTCACGTGCTCTTACCCATGATTTCTTGGTTTGGGATGTTCTCACTGTGCACCTTGTGTCCTGCAGAGATTTGTCATACAATAACCTGAGTGGCCCGATACCAGGATCTTTGGCAAGAACATACAAGTAAGGCTGCAGCTCAGATTGTGTTCATCCTTGTTTGAATAAGCTTAATTTTTTTCATGGAAGTATGAACCTGTATCAAGTTTAAGCTGTAAGCTTTGTTCTGTTATTGGTTCTCTTGCAGCATAGTTGGAAATCCTCTCATATGCGCTGCAAATACGGAGAAAGATTGTTACGGGACTGCGCCGATGCCAATGACCTACAACCTTTCACAAGGCACTCCGCCGACGAAAGCTAAAAGCCACGAGTTTGCAGTTGCATTTGGTGCTGTAACTGGTTGCATGAGCTTCCTCTTTCTTGCTGCCGGATTCTTGTTCTGGTGGAGACAGCGTCGGAACAGGCAGATACTTTTCGATGACGAAGGTAAGTGAAACTTCAAGAATTCCATGCAGTACTTTGTGCATCGATTTGGAACCTGATAATTGATGAAGCACTGCTATTGATGCAGATCAACACATGGATAACGTTAGCCTTGGAAATGTCAGGAGGTTCCAGTTCAGGGAGCTGCAGGTTGCAACAGAAAAATTCAGCAGCAAGAACATACTCGGAAAAGGCGGCTTCGGACACGTTTACAGGGGGCAGCTTCCCGATGGGACTCTTGTGGCTGTCAAACGACTCAAGGATGGTAATGCTGCGGGTGGTGAGTCACAGTTCAAGACTGAAGTTGAAATGATCAGCTTGGCAGTGCACCGGAACCTCCTTAGGATTCTGGGGTTCTGTATGACTGCCACAGAGAGGTTACTAGTTTATCCATACATGTCAAATGGAAGCGTCGCTTCGCGCCTGAAAGGTCAGCACCTCAAAATCCCAGCAAGATTATCTGCCTTTCCTTGACATCCCGTGCTTAACTAGGCTAGATAGAACTAGCTCATTTTGGCGTAGTCAAGAAAAGCAAATTGCTTTGTTGGGTGTGTGTCAGTTGGAGGCTGCAGCAATGTTGTCTTACCTTGCCTGAGTGGGAGTTCTTACTTTGGCTAGCCTCCTCCCCGTTTTGGTTGTGGTTATTAGTGATCTAGCCAAGCAAAGTAAACCTTTGTCATGTTACCAAGTGACCTGCCTTGCCTAACAAGGCTAGGAGAATCTTAGCCTGAGAACCAAACGTAAGTAGGAGAACTGTTTGCCCAATTATAGACCCACTTGTTGTGCAGCATATGTTCGTTCTAGAATTTTCAGATGTCATGCCTAAAAAGAACGATGCAGAATTGAAAGTTGCAATCCGACAAGCCGAACGTGAAAAAGACAGAATTGGATTCTTCCCTTCATTTATTTTTGTTTCTTTGCACAAAGACTTTATCACAGAGCATATGATTCCTATCAAAGGAAATCTCCCCTTTATACCGGTCTAATTATTCCAGGAAAGCCACCTTTGGACTGGATCACTAGGAAGAGGATAGCCCTTGGAGCAGCAAGAGGTCTACTTTACCTTCATGAGCAGTGTGACCCAAAGATCATCCACAGAGACGTCAAGGCAGCCAACGTGTTGCTGGACGATTGCTGTGAGGCCATCGTCGGTGATTTCGGGCTTGCAAAGCTCCTTGATCACCAGGATTCGCACGTCACCACTGCAGTGCGGGGCACCGTTGGGCATATCGCGCCTGAGTACCTCTCCACTGGGCAGTCATCCGAGAAAACAGACGTCTTCGGGTTTGGCATCCTGCTGCTGGAGCTGATCACCGGCCAGACAGCGCTGGAGTTCGGAAAGGCATCAAATCAGAAGGGAGCCATGCTGGATTGGGTAATTAAGCCTCTGCAATTTACTTGATAAAACTGCTGCAAGAAATACTTGAGAAAAACTAATAAAGTTCATGGAACCACCTGAAATGAAAAGCACTTTTGTCGAAACTGTTCATAACTGCAAATGCCCTGCCATCGATGATGCTTAAGTTAGCTCATGACGTAATTGCTTGATGATCAGGTGAAGAAGATGCACCAAGAGAAGAAACTTGATGTACTGGTTGACAAGGGTCTGCGGAGCAGCTACGACCGGATCGAGCTCGAGGAGATGGTGCAGGTGGCGCTCCTTTGCACACAGTACCTCCCAGGCCACCGACCGAGGATGTCGGAGGTGGTTCGCATGCTGGAAGGCGACGGGCTTGCGGAACGGTGGCAAGCGTCGCAGCGAGCCGACTCACACAAGTTCACCGTGCCTGAGTTCACCTTCAGCCGCTGCTACTCCGACCTGACCGACGACTCGTCATTGCTGGTGCAGGCCGTCGAGCTCTCCGGGCCAAGATGACATGGTCACCAAGTGACCACAGAACACCAAGCAGCAGCCCTTGTACAGCATGATAATCCTATGTAGATTTGGAAATAATCCAATACTGAAGTAAAGTATAAATAGTGATGTATGTATCTTAGATGAAGTGTACACAGGAGAGTGCCCCAACTCCCTGGAATGGTATTGAACTATTAATATTACAGATTTCTAGCTGAAACAATAAGACTAGTTGTAACTTGTAACAAGGGGCTTCTCTTGAAGTTGTAAAGTTTTGATTTGCCCAGTTTGTATTTTCTCTTTGGCAGTCTTTATTTTTTCTGCTTTTCTTGCTGCATTTTCAGATTGAAACAGGTGCTAAAATATGATCAGAATGCATTGCTGATGTGTACATAATATCAGGTTGTGCAAAACCCTCAAAATACATGATGTGTATATTCTCTATTACTCCATACAGCCAAAATATTTCAGTGTAGCGCGACGACGATAATACCTATACCAGTAGAGTATATGCTATGAAAAACGTTCTTATTTGCAGACAATCATCAACCATCAAAGGAGAAGGCGCAAACGAAGGTTCCACCAGCTTATGTGTTCACGAATCTGCAGGTCTTCCTGACCTCACCACCTGCAGGGTTGGTGATATTGCCCATCTTGACCATGGAGTCCGAGAACTGCTTGAAGAACAGCTCCGGGTCAGCCCAGTACTTGTTGACCGTGTCGGCCGTCGAGTACCCGGCGATGCTGGACCACATCTCCTGGTCGGAGTTGAGGAGGCCCTCGCCCTTGATGAGCGACTCAAAATAGGCGTTGTCGAAGGTCGAGGAAGTGTGGCTGTCCATGGCGCTGATGTTGTCGTCGCCACCATCCATGGGGCAGACCTCCTTGAGCTTGCTGAGGTAGGTCGCAGACGCAGGGTTGTACTTGGATGTCATCTCGAAGTCGCCGTATATCCTGTCCCGGAAGTTCGCGCACCGTGCGAATCCAATCGTGTGGGATCCTTCAATGCAAATGTCATATCTCTAGTAAGCAGTGTTCAACATAAGATGATAACAGGAGTGCACCCCCTCAAACATATCAGAATTCAGAAGGTTCAGGTACAAAGTTGCATCTCCATATTGGTATTTTTATTACAAGACAAGGAAGTATCTGTAGATCCTACTTTAAAATTACCAGATTGTTCATGTATTTTACATTGCTTACAGCGCTTGATTGTCTGGTTCTGTTAATATTAAGTTATGAACTGAACTAGTGTTTTTAATCATAAACTATAGCTGTCAAAAGAAAGAAGATCATACCGACAAGGGCCACCATGTCAGTGGCATCAAGGCCCTTCTCCCAGAACTTGGAAATAAGGGTGACAAGGCCCTGCTCAGCGGTAGGGATGTCCTTGTTTGCTAGGTCAAGACTTGCCTCCTTGGAGTCCAATCTTCCTACTGGAACATCCCAGTAAGGCCCACCCACCTGAAACAATTTTTCCCCCTTGTCAGAAAGATATGGAGTTTGTAGTCTTTTGTTTTCAAGAAATGTATCTGTCATGTTCTTTGTTTGCATACTACTCTACTCAAAAGATATGGAATTGTAGCTAAACAGCATCCAAATGGCACAGCAGGTTATAATGAAATATACGTGTGGATTTCTGATGGTATACTAACTTATTCCTCAAAAGGCAAGCCTGCTATGAAATTGGTGCAAGCAAAAGTAACTAAGCCACTACACAAGAATCAATACTCTGAACATTGGGTTTGGTTTATTTTACCAAGACAACTGCGTCCCTGGCTGCAATGGCAAGCAAGTCAGCACAGGAAACTGTTCCAGGACACTCAGCCTCCAGCTTTGCCTTGATTTTGTCAACCACCTCAAATCCTTTCAGCGAGTTCACATTCTGGTCTGCTTGCTTCTCTCCGATCATGGTCGCGGTGTCGTCAAGCAGCACCGATCCATCACAGCCCTGCAACAAACAAACATTCAGATGTTCAGAGCAAACTCAATAATACCACTCCACAGTATAAGCATTCAGGTTAGCGTCTGTGGCCAAAAGAGTGTTTGGGCAGCCAACCTGCACGAAACAGTCGTGGAAATGGAGGCGAAGCATCAAAGCGGCATTGCGTGGTTCGTCGCGCACCGCACACTCCATCTCTGCCCGGACCACATGCTCCGCATTCGGGCATGTCTTGGAGTAGTGCTCCAGGCTCAGATTTGAAGGGTCCTGTGCCATCAGCAATGGCAAGGCCAGGAGAAAACAGGCCACGGAGAGAGCAGACGCCCTGAAGCACAACGCAGCTGTAGCCATCCTGAAACTAGTTTTAGCTGTTCCTGTGCTTGGATGGTTCGGGTTCAGATGTTTTTGTGGCAAGTTTCTTGTTCTGCATGGGCTTTATAGCAAAGTAAGACAGGCCTACGTGGTGTATGAAGAGAAACTGGTCAACAGGGAGATGAGCTAACTCTGTTGTGGTTGGTGGAGTAAGCAAGCAGAAAGTATCTCTAGTTCTGTGCTGTAGCACACTAATGGGTCAAAGGCTCTCTCTCTCTCTCTCTCTCTCTCTCTCTTTGGTGGCTTTGGGTTCACCAATATTGGAAAATCACAAGAGCTGCTCAGGTGCATATATAAAACTATAATATGACATGCCTGCTGTTCCCTTGTTTTAAATCAGTTGGATGCTTCCACTGCTATGTTAGGTAAAAGGAACTCAGATCTACAGGTGTTGAATGCCAACTAACAAAATATGCTAGTATTTAATTATTCATATTTGACTTAAGTAGCTGAAAAACCTCATGTTCCTTTGTTAGATCACCTTCCCATGAACACAAGCAGCTGATTTGGAACGTGTTAACTCAGATGCATCCATCACACTGCTGGCAGCAACAGGGACATTTCGTCCTTTCGAACAGATAGAAACCAATTATTCTGGGAAGATATCTATCTATACCAGTGAGGAAAACAAAAGCGGGGCAGCAGCACGCGAAAAGCGATGCGCGGGGACCAGAGGAGAGACTTAAAATAGTACGGTCCTGTGCACTACAATTTGGAATATCTGGAAAGAAAAGGGACATGAGGATCTTACAAATCCAGACAGCTACAGTACAACAAGTGTCTTGCCAAAGCCAATGAAAGGAAAATACCTGTGTAGCTTTTGCCTCTGAATGCTTCTTAACCCCCTGTCTGCTTAATGCCTAAACCAGCCTTTAACAGTCAGTTCTGCAGGTAAACCGTAACTCCTACCTTTAACTGATCAGCAGAGTTCCTGCTTTTTTTCTTCACAAAACTTGGAAGGAAGCCAAAAAATTGGTGTGCCTGACCGAGTCCTAAACCAATGAGATTTTCTTTATACTTCAGCATTTTTCTCTCGAACATGCCTGGGAGCAGGTCATTTTCATAAGAAGAAAGCACAAGGGACCAAATTTTGGCGAGGCCAGGAAAAGAAAAGAAAGCACGAAGGCATAAGACGGTATACAACCAGGTGTGGAGACAACCCATTCTTCGGAACGTGAAGGCATGGGACTCGCCTTGCCCAGCCTCTAGCCAAGAATGACAAAGAAGCGACGCACAGGGCCTCGAAGGCCTCTTCACGACAGCTGCTGGACACCTCTCTAACACGACCATGACACAAGAGCTGCCCCAGTCAAAGTACCCCCAACATTTGAGCTTTTCTCAATATCTCAACTTGCTACCTCACACTTGAGGTTCCAAAAGGCGGAACGGCTAAGGGAGAGCGCCAATGAATGGCAGAAAACCTCATGCTTTGGAATCTAACAGAAGACAGCTCCCCTTTCTCTTTTGCTAAAGGGTGCAACTGCTCATAAAGAGAGATGCAGCATCTTCCCTCTGTCTCCTTTATACCATAATGGCTTCTAGTTTCCTCTAGTTTCTACCTTTAGGTTTAGTCCAATCCAGGCAAAGACAATTTCATCATTCAGGGCCAATCAGTCGTGTGATATATATGAGAGTTCTCTTGATCGGTGGAATGCACCTCCGGGTTTGCATCAGCGGCTATCCAAATTAGCTGGCATCTGAGTCCAAATGTAAAAAGTGAACACACGGATCATCCTGACAAAAAATGGGAAAGTAATTGTAAAAGATTTAAGTCTTCTACTTGCAAACATGCAAATTTCTTTCACCAGATAGATTTGATATCAAACTCAAGCAGATTTAGCTGAGCAACACTAGAGCTAACTCGCAGCCATGCCGAGGTGCATTAAATGTTTATCTGAAAACGACTCTGCATCGGAAGACCGACATTGGCACAGGATAGTGAAGCAGCAACGTCCAAAGCTAACCACAAACCAGGTACACTATAATCCTCGCCCCCAAGAATGACGCCAAGTGTCACCCGACTGACACCCTACTATTAGTATACTCTGGACTGGACGTCCTACATTCCTGACATTCCTCCATACTCACATAGGCAGTGCATGAACACATACGAAAGAGCCATGAGAGGTAGAGGAGCAGAAGAAGACATATACACAGAATATGTAGGGAAACAGTAGCTACTACCTTCACTAATACCCCTTGCATGGTCTTTGTGGTGCTCACAAGGACACCTTGTTCATGAATTGTGTTTCCAACGGCACCGTTTATGAGGAGGCGGTTGGACGAGAAGGGAGCTGGGCCAGGCTGTGCGACGGATGTTGCGCGGTGCCAAGCGTGGTGTACTGCCGCGCCGACTCCGCGTACCTCTGTGCATCTTGTGATGCACAGATCCACGCCGCAAACCGTGTGGCCTCGCGCCATGAGCGTGTGCTCCTCTCCGAGGCCTACAAGCATGCACCAGTGGTGCTGGAATGTCATGCAGATGCTGCAGCGTTGTGCGCCGCCTATGAAGCACAGGTACACTACACAAACCTGCTTGCCACGATGCACCAGCGCGTGCCCGTGGTGTCACACCCGGTCGCAGCCATTCCAGCTGCTTCTTTATTTGCCGAGGCAGCAGCCACCGCTCCTGTCCTCGGCAGCAAGGAAGAGGACGCCTCTTGGCTGCTGCCCAGCAAAGATTCTGATAACCATAATCACAGTGGCAACCACAGCAGCAGCAGCAGCAGCAGCAGCAGCAGATATTTTGGTGAAGTGGATCAGTACTTTGACCTTGTCGGGTACAATTCTTACTATGATAGCCACATGAACAACCAAGAGCAGTATGTGATGCAAGAACAACAACATCTGCAGCAGATGCAAAAGGAGTACGCGGAGCAGCAGATGCAAAAGGAGTACGTGGAGAAGGAAGGGAGCGAGTGCATAGTACCTTCGCAGTCTGCAATTGTGAGCAGGCCACATCAGAGTGGTTATGCACCACTTGTAGGGGCAGAGCAGGCTGCCTCCGTGACTGCTGGGGTTAGTGCTTACACAGATTCCGTCAACAACAGCGTGAGTTCTTCTATTACTTATTTATTATGGCATTACAACTTACATGTCATGCTATAATTTCCTCAAACTAGAGTTCATGCATACTTCATATGAAATAAAATGATAAGATCAGCCAGAGTACTTTTTTTTGGTGCAAGTGAAAGTGTGAAACGTCGGTATTTAGTGTTTCCTCACTTTTTTGGCTCTTTCTTCAACTTTTTCTACTTCTAGGTAGAGAACTTCAGCTGATTATTTCCAAAATGGAACTGCTGACATAGCCACTTCAAAGAAAAGTACACAACCCATGCCTAGGCAGATTAATGGATTAGTTTGTGTACTTTTACACATAGAACACCCAACTCAGCTCAGTAATTAAAAAGTCAATCCATATGTAAACTCTGAAATTCTCTGCCAACTAGAGAAGTACACAATTCATCTCTAGGAAAGTACACTAATTAAAATGGAACTGCTGTCATAGACACTCCAAAGAAAGTCTAGGCATATTAATTGATTATTAGTCCGTGTACTTTCTAAACATAGAATATTCAAGTTTTCTCAGTAACTAAAAGGTCACTCCATACACACACTCTCAAATTCTCTGTCAACTAGAAACTACGCTCTCTGTTTACCAACTTTTCTATACACACCAATGACTACATGAAAGAATATGATATATCATTAGATATTTCATAACCAGCAAGTCTAGTGTAGGTTTTATCCGTAAGCAGCGTTTACATGGTTTTATTGTGTAAACAGGGAAAAAGTAATACAAGGTTATGTACGTTGGACTAAATTAAACTCATCTACATATCAATGAAGGATCTCAACTGCAATGTCAATATGATTGCACATTTTAAGTGACCATTTTTCCATTCCATCTCAGATATCTTTCTCAATGGAGGCGGGTATAGTACCGGACAATACGGTCCAGTCCAGCATCCTGAGACCAGCTGGAGCCATCGGTCTCTTCTCAAGTCCTTCACTTCAGACACCAATTCACTTCAGCTCCAAGGAGAGAGAGGCCAGGGTCCTCAGGTACAAGGAGAAGAAGAAGAGCAGAAAGTTTGAGAAGACCACACGTTATGCAACAAGGAAGGCGTATGCCGAAGCACGGCCAAGGATCAAGGGGCGCTTCGCCAAAAGATCAGATGCAGACATGGAAGCGGACCAGACGTTCTCAACTGCAGCCCTATCTGACAGTAGCTACAGTACAGTCCCATGGTTCTGATGAGGCATCGTATTAGCATATGGACTTACCAGAGTGATAAGGTACAGTACGAGTATTTCAAGCAGATCGATGCTCTGAATAATGGTTGGATATGTGCAACTTAATCATAAGGTACCTTAGCATCTACATTTTGGTTTATAGTTTCAGATAGCACGTATGTGATGTTAGATACTTGCTCAGTCACTTCAGTTACAAGTGAACAAAGAGCGGTATTTAACTATTTAAAGATGTAATGTAACGGCACATAGATAACTATGGGGCGTGTTGGATTTTTTTTTTCCTTTTGACAAGAAGCAGCTACCAGCTGATTTCATTGATGAAGGGACGGTAATGTTACAAGGGAGTACCTAGAACTCATCTAGATGAGACGTAATTTGGTCTCATTCACCTGAAAAACAAGAATGGATACAACCCACGTCAGCACACACGCATCTTATAGCACCACATCCAATGGCTATAAAAGGTGAATGGGACCAAATTAAATCTCATCTAGATGAGTTCTAGCAAAACTGATGTTACAAAGCAAATTTAGAGCAAGAAAAAAGGACAATGCTGAAAATGGTGGGGGGACCCGAAGACACAGCCGGACACCAAAGAACAAGAAGCCTAGCTAATCATGGCGGCTTGAATAGGTCTTCCAGCTAAGATTGAACGGAACCGTGACTCACTCAACTCAAGGCTTGTTTTTGCTAACCCCCATCAACCAAACGAGGTTCTCAGCTTGTTTCTGCTAACTAGCTTAGATTTTTTTTTTTAACTATGATCATCCAATCTGATTGGAGTTTCACCATAGGGGAAGTGATGGCATCCTCGCCACTTTTGCTCATCTGCTGGTGTGCTTGTCGTCCCCAAAATCCTCCTAAAGTAAGGGTACGAGGACTGTCCGATATACAGCATTTTTCTTGCGTCCCCAACACGCGCAAAGGCCTACTTGGTATTTCCAGAATGAAATGCACAATGCAAATAAACCAAAAGGCGCTCTCTCATTCTCAGATAGTTCTACAGTACCCAAACCGAACTCAAGGAAGGGGAGAGAAAACTTGAGTTTGGTTCCGACGCATTGGGCAAAGCTAACTCATCCAGGAATCTCTTGGGCAAACCAACAATTTGGTTCCACTTGTTCCGCAATCTGTTTTTCTAGTGAACTGTAACAAGTTCAACAGATGCATCCTTTCCCATCTAACAAAATAACTCAAAGAACAACACTGCAATTTTGGCCACACTAGCCATGAATATTCTGATAAAGGCCGTAGGGGGTAAACCTTCATCGATATTGTACAGATGGCTCTGAATCTCCGTATATCACCCTGTTCCTTTCGACCTTCAAAATCTACACAAAGAGGAGAGGAGCATTGGTTGGTAAGCAACAGGCAAGCCGTGGAAACCTAGGAACGAAGGAGGTCAGTTGTATGGAACTTCGTCCCTCGTTTCATGAACACGCAATCAGTGCAATGTAAGGCGCGCGCCGGCGGTGAGTACCTCCTAACTTCCTCTGCACGGACGTAGCGGTCGAGGACTCGAGGGGTGTAAGGGTCGGGATCGATCTAAGCGTGGAAGCTAGGGTTCATGGCGGAATGGGGAAAATTCGATGGCGTGTTTATCCTCCCAACCTCCCTCTGTACTACAGCTATTACAATCGGCCGAAGCCGCCGTCCGTCCAAAGCCAATCCATCCGAACGTTACAAGGGTATTTAAACTACAGCCATTCCGGGCCGGCGTGCCATTTGGGCTTCGTCTTCACCCGAGTGGGCCGCACCGCAGGCCCACGAGAAGTTTTGAACTCTGCCGCTTCTTCTCTGCTTGTCGGATGATGAATAGTGTCGTCACCTGTTGTCGCTGTTGCCATATCATCTGAAGCGCTACCCGGTGTGCTGACATTCCTCCCTCCTTGAGAGCCGGCTTGACCCCAAGCCGGAGCACGGGGAAACTGCTGCTTCAAATGCTCCAAATCCTCCCAAGTAGCATCTGCAGGAGAAGATTCAGACTAGTGAACTAGCCCTTGGGCAACCGTCTTTTTACCTTGAGATCGCACTCGCTTCTGCAGTATACTGAGAGGAACTTGTATAGCTGCCCTGACTGTAGGCAATGTGTGACTGGGAATCGTCTCTCGAGGTAAAAACTTCTTGAGCTGAGAAACATGAAAGACAGGGTGTAGCCTGCTGTTATTAGGAAGATCCAATCGATAAGCTCGCTCTCCAATGCGCTCCAGGATTGGAAAAGGACCATAATACTTGAAGGCCAGTTTTTTAATTTGCCCTGGAATATAATGACAACTGAGCATAGGGTTGCAGCTTGAGAAAGACACGATCCCCTACTGCAAAAACCCGTTCAGTTCTCTTCTTGTCAGCCTGATTTTTCATACGTTGTTGTGCCCTTAACAAGTGTTGTCGAGCTGTTTTTGTGACCGCTTGGCGAGATTGCAACCAGTCTTGCATTTCCAATGGAGCAATTGTATCAGTTGCAGAGATGCCAAAATATCTGGGAGTATACCCATACAAAATTTCAAAAGGAGATTTCCCCAAAGCAAAGTGCCAATTGGAATTGTACCAGAATTCACACAAAGGCAGCCATTTACTCCATTTGTGTGGTTGAGCACTGATAAAACATCTCAAATAACACTCCACTTGCTGATTTACTTGCTCAGTCTGCCCATCTGTTTTAGGATGATTTGCTGTACTCATATTCAATTGAGTCCCTGTTTTTGCAACTAACAATTTCCAGAACTGACTAGTAAAAAGTGGATCTCTATCAGATATGATCACACTAGGCAGACCATGCAACTTGTAAACATTATCCAAGAACACCTCAGCCACCTTCTGAGCATTGAAAGGATGTTTGAGTGGAATAAAATGACCATATTTAGAAAATTTATCAATCACCACTAAAATGCAGTTGTACTGAGATGACTGGGGAAGACCATTAATAAAATCCATAGACACAGTATCCCAGGCTTTATGTGGAACTGGCAAGGGAGATAACAAGCCAGGATAAGGAACTCTTTCAGGTTTAGCTTTCTGGCATATCACACAAGACTGCACCTGTGTTAAGATGAACTTCTTCATTCCAGACCAAGTGAACAGAGCATGAATCCTTCTGTATGTCACTGGAAAACCTGAATGACCCCCCAAAGGGCTATCATGAAAAGCAAAGAAAATTTTCTGATGTAATGCAGGAACAGAGCCAACCCAAATACTCTGCTTATATTTCAGAATACCATTAACCAAACTGTAGGGTGGCTTAGAAGCTGGTTGCACAGCTAGTTGTTGCATAATTGTCAGGGCTCGTTCATCATGTTTATAACTATCAATAATTTCAACTAACCATGTGGGTTGGCTACTGGAAATGGAAAACAACTGAGAACCATCAGGAGGTCTCCTGGACAGAGCATCGGCTGCACTATTTGCTGTACCTTGTTTGTACTGAATCTGATAATGCAATCCAAGAAGTTTAGCAAGACACCTCTGCTGCCAGATTGTATGCAATCTTTGATCCTGCAAATGAGCCAAACTTCTCTGATCCGTTTTAATAGTGAACCGCTGAACTTGCAAATAAGGCCTCCACTTATCCACTGCCAATAAAATAGCCAAATATTCTTTCTCATATACTGACAGAGCCCTATTCTTGGGTCCCAAAGTTTTACTAACAAATGCCAGTGGGTGTCCCTGTTGCATCAGCACTGCACCAATACCATATTCACAAGCATCAGTCTCAATCATAAAGGGCTTACTAAAATCTAGTAAGGCCAATACAGGAGCAGACACTAAAGCATGCTTAAGTGTGACAAAAGCCTCCTCTGTAACACTGGTCCATACAAAAGGAACTCCTTTCTTAAGCAAATCAGTTAAAGGCCTTGCAATAATCCCATAATGTTTAATGAATTTTCTATAATAACCACTCAAACCAAGAAAACCCCTCACTTCCTTCACATTTTTTGGAGTAGGCCATTGCTGAACAGCCACTATCTTATCAGGGTCAGTGGAAACCCCTCCTGCAGAAATAACATGCCCTAGATATGCTATCTTGGGCTGAGCAAAGTCACATTTAGACATCTTAACCTTCCACTGCTCCTTATGCAAAATAGATAGCACCTCATCCAAATGTTTCCAGTGTTCTTCCAATGTCTTACTGAATATCAGAATATCATCAAAGAAAACCAAGGCAAACTTCCTCAAGACTGGAGACAGATCAAAATTCATTTGCCCTTGAAATGATCCAGGTGCTCCTGTCAGACCCATGCCCATCACAGTAAATTCATAATGTCCATTATGAGTTTGAAATGCAGTCTTATATTCCTCTCCTGGTGCTAATCTGATCCGATAATATCCAGCTTTCAAGTCCAGCTTAGAAAACCAACAGGCTCCTGCAAGTTCATCCAAAAGTTCATCTATTACAGGCACTGGATATTTCCCTTTTTCTGTGATAGCATTGAGTTGTCTATAATCAACTACCATCCTCCAAGTTCCTTCGTCTTTCTTTTTAACTAACAACACAGGAGAAGAAAAAGCACTGTTACTATGCCTAATCATCCCTGAATCCAGCAGCTCTTTAATCTGTTTTTCCAACTCATCTTTCAGATGTGGAGCAATCCTGTAGGGCCTAACAGACACTGGTCTGGCTCCAGGAATCAATGGAATAGTGTGATCCTTAAGTCTTCTAGGAGGTAGTGTAGTTGGATTTTCAAACACTACAGCATGCTTATCCAGCAAAACTTGCAACTCTGGCTGAACAACTTTCTGTTCCACAGGTCTGATCAGAGAGACAGAGAACACTGTAACTGCTACATCTTCAGGTAACAGCCCTTGCAATGTAACTGTATCTCCTTGGTAGTAAAAGGACATCCACTTTTGAACCCAATCAATCTGCATAGGACTGTGCTGAGCAAGCCAATCGGCCTATAATTCCATCATAACTGGTTAGGGGAAGTAATCGAAAACTAGTAGCAAATTCCACCTGACCACAACTCCAGGAGCAGGATTTTAAAACAGAATCGCATCGCAATG